TCAGTTCCTAGAGATCAGAGGAGGGGGGGTAATGATTACTCAAAGTGATAAACTTAACATACACACAAATACCAACAATGCCTTAGGGTAATACCAACTATTTCGCTAGTTTTCTAGACTTTTTACCACCTAGAAAATACATACATCTTACCCACACACTGCTTTCGACAGTTACTGCACCCAGGCAGTAATTTAGATCAATATTATTGCAAATACTAATTCTTCTGAATGGATTAACTTTTATAAGCGCGAATCGTAACATTACTTATTTATATGCTTTCTCTTCTTTTCTCTTCCTCATCCATATCAAACAAATTTAGAATTCATAACCCTTTTTCCCCAAAATCGTCTGATGCGTATACGCATCCCTTACTTTTTGTTCGATTTTCGATGCAAAAACTACATTTAGCATGAAAGATATACCAATAGTCTTGAAAGCCACTTTCACAGCTCGAAATGGCTAAAAAGACCTTCAACGGTACAAATCCATACTTCCAGAGTTCATTACACGCATTATCTTAGGAATCTCTTGGGAACCGTCTTTGTTCACTCATCACCTCGCCCTGCTTTAGAGTTCATAATTCAAAAAACATCTTTTATTATAATCCGAGATTTCTGCAAATTCCCTCATCCCTTCGACACCAATGGCCGGTAACAGTTTAAGGGGCCGAGTGGAGGTACATAAATTTGGTGGGAGTCGTGTCTATGAACGTTTCGACTCTACAACTTTTGGAGCTCTGCCAATCAAGACAGGGAAGCCATTGCCACGGGCTTCCATCATGTTCATGCCGGGCGGAGGTGGGGCGGTGATAAGTGGCGCACTATCACACACGCGTAGTCACAGTTTCGAATCTGGGATCGGTATCCGTCAGGCCAACCGAGCCTTCCATCATCCCGGGGGTCGATCAACTGGTACGACAAACGACCAACACGTCTGGGAGGATAAAAGCTGACGATGACCTGTACATCGCCGGCCACCGCACGTCACTGCATAGGCCGCACACGCAATCAGTGCTCCGCTCGCCCTCGAACACAAGTCGAATGCGGGGGTGAGGTGCATCTCCCAGTCGGAATTTCGTACTAGATTCTTTATTCCATCGACTAACCCTTCGCACAGCTTGTGTACTGTTTGCAGTTCTATTCACACTTTTCCACGCCACTAATTGCTTGTAGTTAGGCGATCATGCGTCCCCTTTCTTCATTACGTGGAAATGTGTTTGTTGTTGCTGAGAATCATAGTGTTTTGTGAACATTATGGAATGAAAGGAGCAGGAAACACAATTCCTATACATATTACTGCAACGTTTAGAATTTGGAATTTTTTTTATCGCATTTGGTCGAGTGAAAAGTTTCTTCTGTTAGTTTAAACATAATTCAGTGGGTTTTTCCTACTAATTTTTCGTCTTCAGTTTTTACGTGGTTCATTTTCAGGCAAGGAGTTTGGTACGACTTCCTTATGAAATTGACGTATAAATCCCTCGAAATAAGCGCCCGATACACTAGAAAATGTGAAGATACGACGGGGACCTCTGAGTCTTCGCAAACGTCGTCTGGTCGAGCCGACGGACAACGACGCCGTCCGTTATTACACTTACACCGGCACAATAACTCAATGATTTACAAGTTGTAGAATGCGAGCATATCCGCCTTTATACATTAGTGGAAAATCAAAAAATGTGCTGTGTAACAATTTGGTGTTCTAGAAGGCCGGTAAGACCAACATCTTCGTATGTATCATTAAGGTGTCCGGAAAGTTTTGGGAAAATTTCGCCTCCCGATTTCAAAGGCATGTTGCTCGTGAGCGCGCTAGAAAAGGACTTACCAGGGAAGGATCCTAAGTCGAAGTGGCCATTTGAAATGGGACTTACACTGCTAGACGTGTTTTTGAATGCTGAGTTCAGATCTGCACTCCAAATTTGCCGAGCGTTTCTCTGAACGGAGTTATAAGGGTGGTTTCAAGGAGCTTAGCATGAGAAAACTTAAATTACATTGATGTTCCTACCCTTCTCCTACCTACCTACCTGTTACCATGTGGGAGATTCCTCCTTGCGCAAAATTTGGAGGTCCGGGAAGGAAACTGCATATGATGAGCAATGATGATGCTAGAGTGGGTGTTGATGCTAGATTGGGTGAGATGGAGCATAGCAGCTCCGGACTCATCAACACCGGCGCTGGTGATAGTGGACTCGAAGACCAGAAATCTATCT